GCTGACCTAGGCACACATCAGTGCGCTCATAAATCTCAATTTGATTTGGGTTGCCTATGCCCGGCTCTACTGCTCTTCTTTTTTCTGCTCTGTCGCCTTTGTCTGCCACTGCCGCTGCCGCTGCCCCCCGCTCCTGCTCCTTCCTCTGCCCATGCATATTCGACGATTTTTGTGTTTTGTTCGCCATAATTTATTTTATTTCCTTTGGATGTCTTCTTTGGGCCTGACTTTGGCTTTGGCTCATCAGCAGCCTTAAATCTTAATTCATGCGTTTTGGGTGGGTGTCGACCACGCCCCAGTTCCAGTGTCCCAGTGTCCCAGTGTCCGTCTAATTGTTTTGCCATTGTCAATTTCCCATGTAATTGCCTGGCAATTAGGCGGCCGTTAAATGAGCCAACATAACTCATGTGGGCGGGCCAAATGGAGGGGCGTGGCTAGGAGGAGTTGTGCGAAAGCTTTTCGCTTTCCTTTTGTGCAAACAATCAAACATTTACAGCGATTTAAGTCCCGGCCTCTTAAAGCTTTGCTCCCGCACACTCCGCGCAGTGGAAGAGTTCCGATGAGTCGGAGCCTGGCTTTAGATAATTAGTTTAGGCAGCTTACTAATTGCATCAGCGACTGCTGTCGCCTTGGTCCTGTATGCTCTGACGGGCTAATGAAATTGTCAGACCAACCACACGAGTTCCATCTCGCATCTGCCCGCCCTTTTGGTTCTTTGTGACACATTCTGCTCTGATGGCGGAGTCCTTCTTAATTGCCTGCCCCCACGCATAAGAATTTAATTTATAGCCCACGCTCTAAGCCACGTTGAGCTCAAGGGTCGCCAGTGTCGCGCTCGACTAGAGATTGCTCTGTGCTCTGCGGTGTAAACTATTCCATCAGCATGGAGACACTCGCGCACACATGTACGTGGCAGCAGTAGCCACAACCTTGTGCTGGCACAGAAAGAGGAAAACAGTAAAGAAATCAATTAAGTGTGTGTGTGTGTGGCCATGTGGGGCAGTGGAAAGAGGCGATGGCTGCTATGCTAGATAGATAATAATGAACGATAAGTGTTAGAGTTTCCGCCTCCATCAGTCACGCCTCAGCCCAGCGGCCGATGACTGTGGGGAAAGGCAGTCCTGGAGAAGCTTCGAGAGCATTGTCTGGATCCCCCTTCTGCGCTGTTTTCCGTGTTGACTCTGCCCTGAGTGCATGTGTAAATTTAGCTAACATTTTAAGTGTCAACTTGCTATGACAAGGCAGCCAAGGAAAAGCGGAGACTGGGTGTCGTCCCATTCGTTGGTTTGTGTGATTAATGGAGCGCCCGATTAATAACGCACTCTGAATGAAAATAGCAGAGGATGAATACTGGCAAACAGCAGCTGGAATGCTCTACAGCCCGAGAGATTAGGGATCAAACATGCGGCGTAATAATGAGGCTAAACGGCTAAACCAATTACCAATTGATGTATCAGAATCTTAGTCATAATTAACTAATGTTTGGTTAATGCTTACTATCAGCTTATCCTTCCTGTGGTCTGTTGTCACCACAAAAGTTACTTTATGCGAATACCCGAATATCGCGACTGCATGCAAATATGTTCCAAGTTCCGCGTTCCGCGTTCCGCATTCCGCACCCCGCGTTCCTTCTCTGCCAGCAAAAAGTGTACGGTAAATGCGGCTACCACTACATGGAACTGTAACTGTGATTAATCGTTGGCTGCCGCTCGCGCGGTGGGTGCGGCTTGACGGAGTGGAATTGTTTTCGGAAAACCCGGAAAAGTCTAGTTAACAGAATATTACGCATTACATCAGCACCCGAAAGTAGACAACATGCATGCAGAGGCATTCCTTTTCCTCTGCCTTTCGGGACAAAGCATTTCCCGGAAATTTGCGTCGTTCTCGATTGTAGATGGTGACGTGGCGCAGAGCACAATTGTAATAATTCCACTACTCACTCGTACATCGAGCTGTCTCCTTACAACATTTGATTAGCAGCCTACCTCTATTAAATATTCATTAATGTACGTATTGTGATTGGGCATGCTAAAGACAGGCCAAATGTCATTGTCGTGCTCAACATTTCCGTGCTGAGCTTAAAATTCAAACTTCAATGGCCTGTAAATGTTTTGGGTTTGCGCTTTGCTTTGTTTTGATCGTTGCAAAATAAGAAAAGAAGAAAACATAAATAAATAATACCAAAGAAAAAATTAAATCAAATTGCGTGCCTGCGCTGCCAGAGCAAATAAAAATGCCGAGCAACCGCACCTGCTTTAGCTGTTTGATTTGCTTTCCTTTCCTTTCCTTTCGTTACCTTTCCAGCTCCGCCGAGTTTTCTCATTCCACCATTTCCCCCAGTGGCCGCTTGTCGCTGACATGTGAAAGATATTTTAAAGCAAATATTTGAGCAGCGTTTGCTGTAGCTCGGATTGTGTTGTGCCCCACAGGCACCCAGCCAGGTATCCGTTCCCATTCGCGGGGAAGATGGAGAGCTCTGGCTTACGCGGTGCGAGGGGCTGCAGATAAGCAATGTGCCGAAGGATAGGCGGCGGATGAGCAATGAGCATGCGATTAGTTGCACTTATCCCCCCGGGCCATGGACTGGAGTGGAATTGAGTTGAGTCGAAATACTGATCAGATTGGGGATTTCAACTTGATTTGCAGTCACCATTGAGCTGAATGCCAGCACAAATAGCGAGAGAGAGCCAAACTAAACGTTGCTATTTTGCCGGGACAATCTCCGATTGACTATGGCAGATGGCAAATGGCAAATGGCACAGAATTGGCTCTGGTAATAGTTAATGGAAATGTTCGAAGAAGGTTGAAGACTGACTGCACGCACGGCTACAGTCTCCGGGGTCTCTGTCCTAAAGTTTATAGAAATAATGCCATTGGATCATATCCTCATTTGGGATTCTGCAATGAAAATTGTTTTCATATTTTTAGACCTTTGTCCAGACCAGAGGACAGGTCGAGTATATCCACTAACGAGAGTGCTCGGAAATATTTTTGCTCTTTTCTTTACCTTTATTTTCTTTCATTTTTGTTGTTGTGCATTTGGCAAATTAAGTATACGACCGGACACCTTAAATTTGGTGTCGTTTATTTATTTATTGACTTTGACGGAGCGGCCAACAACCGAAATTGACCTACATAGTCAGCTTACGCACAACTCGCATCCATGAATGATGTTGGAAGACAAAGAAAAGCCGTCTTGCCCGCTGCTGCTGCCTCCCACTTTGCTACCTTTCGCCATTTTACGACTTAATGACTCCACCGGGATTAATATGACTAATGGTGCGCTGGTTTTTATTCGATACCTGACAGGTAGCCCAGCTAGCCACAGCTCGAGCACCGCCCTTCCTGGACAGAAATACGGAATACGGAATACGGAATACGGCCTTTGTGCAATTCATGTCCAAATGGTCTGCACGAGGAGGCACAAAATAATAATTATGGGCTCTGCGCTTGACTTGGCTGGGCTCGCATTGTGCTGACATGCTATTTCTGTACCAGCCAGAGCACTACAGCAATTATTCGAACGATTGCTACCCTAATGAAAGGGAAATGTTTGTGGAACTTGGAAGATTCCAAGTGAAGAATGGCAGGCTAAGCGGAAAGAGTTTAGCAAACTTTATGGCTGTAAAGAATGTAAATCATTGTTGGAATCGAATGTGGATGTGTTACGAGTGCTCTTTGATTATTTTAGACGTGCCCATTGTTGGGTTCTAATTTCACAAGACTCACAGCATAATCATCTTCCGGATGGCCCAAGCAACTCAGCACGTTCCTCGACTACGAGTACATATAACTGTGGCAGTTGGAAATTTAAACACTTCACCCGCACAGACACTCTCGACACGCATTCGACCTTCTGGGGAGTGGGGACTGGGCATGGCTGGCAGGGACTTGGGAGTACCACTGAAGTGGCTGTTTGGCTGTCATTAGCCGGCTGCAGTAACACGGGGACCAACAACACCTACGACAACGGCTTGGACAAGCAAACAAACAGTTTATCAAGCAACCGCCTGGACTCCGGCAAAGGGTCAGCCCGGAGTAGGGCTCCGCTTCTCTTATCTAGTGGCATGCATCATCAGTCAGTCAGTCAGTCAGTCGGTTAGTCACTCAGTTGGGAAAATTAATTAACAGCAACATTGACACTCGAACATTTGACAGAACATGCAGACAGCTGTGCAGGGCTGGACAGGGCTGGCCGGCCACTCGGAAAGTCAACAAGGTGTTGTCAAGTTGAGGTCCTTTGCCAAAAGTTGCTCGATTTGCTCTCCCAACTGTCCGAGTGTATGTTGCTTTGGCCATTGTTTCTGAGCTTCTCTTGTTGCTGTTGTTGTGGCCTGTGGGCTGTACCCGTCCATCCCCACCTTCAGTTATGCTTTTGCGGCTGATAAATTGTGTTTCCTTTGTTTTTGGAAATGAATTTCATTTAGTTCTGTTTTTGGGCTATAATATTCAACCGATGCTTGTGCGGTTTCCTGACTTTCGTGGTCTGGCTGTTGGTTTCGGGTTACAGGCTCTGGCCTGGCCTGAGCTGGGCTGGCCATTGTGCTCGGGCTGGTGATTGTGTCTGGAGTCTGAAGTTACGATTCCCAGCGTGAAATATGTCTCAATTAATTATCAATGTTTGTGACATCGCATGGGGAGAACTGATTTGATTTTTGCTTGTTGTTGTTTGCTTATCAATATCGATTCCGATTATTCAAAGTCTCCAGATTGGGTTCTGCAAATCAAATGCAATTATGTCGTGCCATTCGTTTGAATCAAAAAACTGTGGGCAGGGCAAAACCAAGTCAATAATTTATGGACGTCAATTAGTTATTATTCATATAGCTATGTATGTACGTTACGTGTGTGTGTGTGTGTATTTATTTATGAATATTTCTAGTATGATAGGGCGAAGCTTTTCTGGCAAATGTTTTTGCCAGCGCTAAAAAAATATCAATCACAATATTTTCCATTTGAATTTCACTTTCAATGGCCAATTGGCAATGGAAATAGTTTTTCTCATTCTCTCAATTTCTCTTTCTGTTTCTGTTTCTCCCGTACAGCACAAACTTCCGGCAATTTCGTGGCATAAAATGTTTGCGACCAATATCCGTTTGGTTGTCGCTGCTGCTGCTGCTGCTCCTGCTGCAGACATTTTCGTACTCGTTGGGCCCTAAGCCAGCCCGGAGAAGCACCGAAGGGCACAGACGACTCCTGTTCCTGTTCCCGTTGTTCCACCTATTTGGCCCAGGTTGGCCCACGCTCCGTACTCATTTCCGGGGCTGTCGTTTCCGCCGTTTTACATTTGCAATTCGAATTGGCGCGTTAACGATTTTTTTGCCCCATTTTGGTTGCATATGCGTGGGCTAATTAGCATGCGGCATTGCCACCGACAACAACACCGGCAGCAGCAGCAGCTAGACCCGCAATCAGAGTAGAGTACACAAAAGGACTAATAACCCGCGCTGGGCTGCGCTGGCCTGAGAACATGGAGGAGGATGTGTATGCCTCGCTGAGTTCCTACAACGATACCGGTGGCGGCGGAGGCATCGAAAATGGCTGGAGCAGTGCGGAAACTAGTGTGGAGCAGCTGCAGAATCTGCTGCTCTGGGAGGACGAGGGCCCGTTCGGGAAGCGGCCCAATCAGAGCCAGCAGCAGTGGAATGCCACCAACACCACCGGTGGGCCAAATCCCATTGATTCCCCCTTCGATGCCAACAACTACTGGGCTCTGCTCGCCCTCGTGCTCGTGCTGGGCACAGCGGCCGGCAACATTCTCGTGTGCCTGGCCATCGCCTGGGAGCGGCGTCTGCAGAATGTGACAAACTACTTTTTAATGTCGCTGGCCATTACGGATCTGATGGTGGCCATGCTGGTGATGCCGCTGGGTATTCTGACCCTCGTGAAAGGTGAGTGAGTGCCTTGCCGCTCATCATTAGTGATGTGCAAGAATTCTCATAAATAACATTTAAACCAGGAAAGGCCTGAGTTGGGTGTTAATCTGAGTTGGGAAAGTAAACTCTCGATGGGTTTCTTTTTAGTTTAACCCTCAAGCAAAAGTAGATAACAATTTGGATTCATAAAGTACTTAAACACATGTTACAAATGAGAATTTCATAGAGGAGAGGAGGAGAAACTGGGTCATTTGTTTTATATATTTTTTGCAGAACTTTCAATGATATTTGTGAACCAATTTTGAGAACAGTTTCACTCCAACTCTTGTTGGGTATAACAATTACAAGTTTGATTATAAATATTCTTCAATGATCAACTGCGGAATGTGATCAAGTTTAATCAAAGAAATCCCTAAATCTGCCATGCAGAAGTCAGCACAATATGTGAGCCACCTCAGTCTGGGAATCAGAGCGAGAAGAAGCTCGGGTTAGCACGGGATGCATTTAATGAATCTGCTGTGGCTGCTGGCGCTGCTGCAGGTGGCAGTCAGCAGCTGTCGATTGCATTATGTCGAAGGAGACCGTCTAGAAGAACGGCGTGGAGAGGCTGCCGTGGGTTCTATGCAGTCAGACAATTTAATAAGCGCGCTGCCTTTGTCGTCCGGACTTGGCGCAATGCTGTCACACACAGGACCAGAAACAATGACAAGACTTTGCCGAACGGAAGCGTTTTTTGCTTTGGCAAGCCGTGGAGCAAGTGCAGCGTAAAAATTGCATTAGGAACGGCAAACGAGCGCGGGCGTGAGTATTTCGCTTTGACTCGACTCTCCGCTAAGGATGCAGCTTGCAGCAGATTTTTTCCTCTGCTGGTGCTGCTGCCGCTGCTGCTGAATTTGCAGCTCCGATGATGACAGTTTTGTTTGTTCGCCTTGGGAGCCATTACAAACACAAACAGACACATGGAACACCTATGCTCACAGCCACACATATCCATACGCATACTTGGCTTGGGACTGGGACTGGGACTGGGACTGGCAATGCAGATGAGGAAGGACTTCAGTGGAGAAGCCTCCAGTGCAAGCAATGGCTGCCTGTTATATCAAGTGTGAAAAATGTTGCAGGCTGCAACGTTTGCAACCCAAAAGCAAGAGTCGAAAAACGGAAGCAGGATTTGAATGTTGTCAAGAGTTCTGTAGCGAGCGAGCAGGAGCGAGCATTACATCCCAAGGATTAAGAACTCACAGGGAAACGGCAAAAGTCTGCCATTCGGCAGTACTGCATAAGTTGATAATAGAAATGTGAAAGTCAGTGGCTGACTGAAAAAAGTCTGTCAAAAATTAAAGCACATTTTGAGAGCATCGCTCAATAAAGATGATTCTGGACTGCACCCAACGACACCTTTGCCATTTGATTCCACACTCAATACACAGGCCCATGCCAGACCGCATGCAAAATTCAATTAATGGGCTCGCGCTAGAGTGCTTTTTGCGCGTTGAAAATGCGTAAATTATGATAAAGAAATTACAAAATAAGTGCAACATAATTATTGCATAATTAATTTCATTTAAAACTCTACATAAAATGCCAGTTAATTAATATCTGTAAACCCAATTAATACATATCCATCAAACTGTGCCCACAAAAGAGGAAAAAAACAGAAAATTGAATTACGGCGCAGAATATACTGGCAGATGCCGCCGCGTACTCGGCCCGCGAATGGCTCTGAATATTTAAGCAGAGGCGAAAAGCTCGCAAAATGTTTTGCAACTTAATAAATTATACGCAGCGCCGCAAATGATAAATAAGAGGAGAGCCGCAAATAAAGAGAGCCAATAAAAAACCGAAGGAAGAGCCCCAAAAAGTCAGAGAAAGAAACATCAAAATTAATTGAGCGCAAATTGGCGTAGCTGCGATTTACAAAGGCAGCAACAAAAAGGGAAAAATAAAGTAGGCGCTGAAATTTCACACAGAAATATTTTAGAGCGGAAGTGCGGAACTGTACTCAAGATGGACCACGGGAGGGGGGGCAGGGGAGGTATGCCAGACAGCGCGTGGCTCGAGCGAAAATATGAGCCTCCCCCTTCCCACATTGCAAATTTATCATTCTACTGTGGCTGCTGGTTCTCCGGCTCTGCCTCTCCCTCTCCCTCTCCCACTCCCACTCCCATTGTTGTTGCTGTTGTCAAAAAGCATTTTAAGCGCTTAAGCCAGAGTATAAGCTGCGACACGCACAACGGTACAGTGGGACCGACTTGGAAAGCTTTCGGTTTCGTTAGTGCAAAGTGCTTCGCTGGAAATAGCATCTGGTAATTCTCTTTCAAATATACATTCCCTTCCCCCCTCCCGCACTGACATCAACCGAAAATAGTGGAATTGTTTTGTGTGTTTTCTATTTGAACACTCCGATTGTTGTGCTCCTCACGGAATTCCCAATTTAATACAGTCGAAATCGAGACGAAAAGAAAACTGGGAAGGCCTCTTCTATCATTTCGCTCGGCTCGCTGGCAATCAGATTCATTCATTTCATAGATAAACGAGCCGCAATGAGCCGATGCCGATGCCAAAGTTAAAGCCAAAGTTGGATAAACTTTTCTTACCCCGAACCACGAATCTCATCCCCATTTTCGGCGGAGGTTTGCCGTCTCCATCCACTAGTTGGATTTATCATAAATCTTTAAGCCACCTGAAAGCACAGAAGCACGGGGAAACGGCGGTACGGGGAATTGACATGTCTACGCATAGCAAATGGCAGGCACAAAATGGCAGCTGTCCTCTGGCTCAGAGCAGCCAATTAATTTTTGGTCAGCTCCCGAAATAAGGCAGAGACCCTCCCCCCCCCTCCCGCCTACTTCCACGAAAAGAGGACAGCGTAATGAAGTTGGCCTTGTTTTATGTTTAAAGCACCGTTATCGAGTAGGACGTAGGTGAACTGGGGCGTGGCCGAAGAACCCTTTTGGCAATCAGAGTGAAATGTGTGTGTGTGTGTGTGTGTTTTTTCCTGTAATTTTTTTGTTTTTGCGGTCAGCAGCAGCAGCAGCAGCAGCTGTTTGACACCCACCCATCAATCAAGTTGTCACGGAGAGAGGAGAGGTCTCTTCTCGCACAACTCTCTGCCTGACACGAGCCTTCCACGAGCATTCCACTATCCCCAGGCCTGGCACCGAGCTTAGGGCGTGTGTGTGCAGCTATGTGTGAAAAGTCAGGGGATCTTTCGCGCTGCTGAACACCGCTGACAACGCTTTAGTTTTAGCTCTGGCTCTAGCTCTAGTTTCGGTCCAAGGATCCTCAGCCATATGCAGACGAGGGCCAGAGCGAAGGAGCCGCAAGACGTTCGCCTTCGCTCATTACTTATGCAAAGTCCCTTTTAGCTGTTAAGTGTTTTGTGTCTACTTACAAATGTAGCTGTAAATCAAGCGGAAGTCTTTTGGTGGGGCACCCAGCTAAAGGGCACAATTGACTCTGTACGGGTTGTGGAAACATTAAATTCAGTTCAGTTTCAGTGAGTTTACTATTTCCGTTGTTTCCAGCGCTCAACGTACAGCACTTTATGGCGAACGTAAACGCAGCCGCAGGGTTTCCCAGTGGAAAGGGCATCAGAAATTGTATGTTGCCCCACACGTGTACGTGTATGTAAATCCTGAAAGCAAGATTCAGCACGAAAATTGATTATAGTGCTATCCAGGAGGATAAAAATTTGTATAGCTCATTAGGGTACGGCACTAAACCCTGTCTACTCAAAGCCCCAGCACATAAACTAAAACTGTAAAAACTGGCTGTGGCTCTGCTTCTTTCGTTTAAATATCTCCCTAAGCCGGACATGGGCTTAAAACACACAGAAAGGTGCTGCTGGGGTGAGCAAACGTTTACCGAACCACAAACCCGCTCTCGGTGGGAGCTCACCGCATGTGGTGGCTTTTTGCACAACAGTTTGCGCATTGTTAGTGGATATATTTTCATGCTTTAACTTATGGCATATAAGCCCATATCATGGGCAACAACTAGAACCAATTAACGATTATTTAACCGCCCGACAACGTTTACAATGTGCTGGTGGGAAACGCTCAACCATTGCCAAGTCTGTCCATCAAATAGCGAGGCACTCAAAATATGCATTCACTGAACTTCTATTGTTACGGTTATGGAAAGGAATAGCTAAATTGCACTTTCTATGATTAATTGAACAGGGAACAGGAATAGCGACAGCCACAAGCGACTCAGGCAAAAAGGGAAACTGAAAGAAATGGGAAAAGCCATTACTCTAATAATATTTGACTTGAATCGATAACGAGTCTAAATTGCAAATAGGTTTTGGGGGGGCAACAAACGCCAGCGACAATGCCAAGGAGTCTAAACCCTAAAGGAAGCAACAACAGAGGGCCAGAGAGGGAACAGTCGGAAGGGTATAGACGCAAACTGACAAAAGAGCGGGATGGATAAACAGCTGGCAGACAGTGCAGAGTACAGAGTAGAGAGAGAGAGAGAGAGAGAGAGAGAGTAAACACTAAAAATATAGCGAGACAAGAACTGGGACTAGGTGGAAATGCAACTCAAGCACGAAGCCGAGACCAAGACCAAGAGCAAGACCAAGACCGAGACTCTCAATGGATTGCCTTGACAGTCAATGCCAAAACAATTGAGGCTTGGCTCGGCCCCGGACACAGAAACGGACACGGGCACGGACATGGACATGGACACGGACACAGACACGGACACGGGCGTGTGATGGAAACAGACATATGCTCAAGATACATGTATTTGCCCTTGTGGCAGTCGCCTCGAGAACAAACAGAACAACCGACTAACCAAATGACTGACTTACGCAAACGAAACACTCAGCTTGGGCTGCTCAAATGGCAACGAAGAAAAGTTACTCTGTCCTTTGAGGAAAATTCCACACTGATAGGTGGAATCTGTGGGTGAAATTATAATTTATATTGTAATAAATGTTTGGGAAATGATTCAAGAACCCAATAAGTACCTTTAAGTCGCTTTAGTGTGCGACGAATACGCTCCAT